GCTGCATAACTTGCAACCGGCCTGGACACGCCTGCGCGGCATGAAGCGTGCCAAGTCCAAGTTCATGGAGATTATTCGTTGCCCTGCTGACAAACACCATGCCTTCATCAGTTCTGCCGTTGAGGCAGAAGGCTGGCATCAGCTCGAGGCCCAAGAAGTCTGGTTGCGCTGCCCAAGTGAGCTGCCCAAACCATGTCCAACTCCGTGGGACACGCGGCAAGCACTGGGAACGGAATGCCTCGCGATCCGCTCGCAAGCGCTCCCGAAGACCCCCCAAAATCCCGTAAGACCCCTTAAAGCCCCCAAAGCCCCAAAGCCCTAAGACCCCAAACCCTAAAGCCCCTCAACTCCCAGACCCCATAAACCCTCACCCCTTCAGCCCCCAGAGCCCCTAAATCCCCCAGTTCCGAAACCTCCTGAGACCCCTTAAACACTCCCCTAAACCCCTTGACCTCCTGAGACCCCCTAAATACGCCCCCCTAAACCCCTTGACCCTCCAAGACCGCCCAGTAACCACTCTGCCGCTCAACCCTGCAACCCTGCAACCCTAAACCCGAAACCCTAAACCCTAAACCCTAAACCCTAAATCCTAAACCCTAAACCCTAAACCCTAAACCCTAAACCCTAAACCCTAAACCCTAAACCCTAAACCCTAAGCCCTAAGCCCTAAACCCTAAACCCTAAACCCTAAACCCTAAACCCTAAACCCTAAACCCTAAACCCTAAACCCTAAACCCTACCAAACCCTAAACCCCAAAAAGCCCTGCGCCGGACACGCGAAACTACCAGGCTCCGACTGCCGCCCCGTGGTCCAGAGGCCCAGACTCGTAGACTCCCAACAATTTAGGGTTTAGTGGGTCTTTTGGGGTGTAGGGATTTGGGCTAAGCGTTTGGGTTAATTAAGGTTTTTGGGGTTTCGAGCTCGGGGTTTAGGGTTTGGGGTTAAGCGTTTGCGGTTTGCAGGTTTGGGGTTAAGGGTTTGTGGTGAAGGGCTTGGGGTTTAGGATTTGGGGTTCAAGGGTTTGGGGTTGAAGGTTTAGGGTTGGGGCCTATCGCTTCGGGCGAAAAGCGAAGGGCTTGGGATTTAGGGTTTCGGGTTTAGGCTTTAGGGTTAAGGGCTTAACCTCGTATTGCATTGTTTTAGGAAGGCAAAGCTCAAGGCGCCTAACCCAACGCCCTCAACGCTAAAACCCCAAACCCTAAACCCTAAACCCTGAACCTCTCAACTCTCAACCCTCAATCACTTGCTTGTAGGGCCCAAACTACGCCTATGATAGATTACCTAGGACCCCCCACTGTACCCTAAACCCTAAACCTTAAACCCTAGACCCTCTTTGTGGTACTTTACTGTAACTTTAGATCCTTACCTTTTTTTGGGTTTATTGGGTTTCTTAAGAAGCCAGCTAAGAATTTAATTTTCAGCTACCCCCCCGAAGTGCAGCCAAGCGCCCCCAAACCCGAAACAGTGGCTGCAAGGCTCTGCCGGGGAGCCTTTCCTGAGGCCGAGAAGGAACCAGATTCTGCCACTGCTGCGGGGTTCAGGGTTCCCAAAGTTTAGGGTTTAGGGCTCAGGGCTTAGGGCTTAGGGTTTAGGGTTTAGGGTTTAGGGTTTGGGGTTCTGAGGGATGGGCCCTTTGAGTCTTATGGACCATGTAGCTGGGTTGTGGCGTACTATAATACTTCTTTTGGTTCTGGGGTTCCTACTAGAGCTACTTCTAAACCCAAAAAGTATATACTTTTTTTCCAGAGCATACTCCAAAGTAGGGCAATAGGGCTCATTTGGAGCAAGAGTTGCAGGCTCCTGTGTTCAGTAGGGCCTTCTTCTGGATGGAGACACACGACTGGCCCATGATTTCGATAGGCCCTAAACCCTATAAACGGACCTATAAACCCTGAACCCCAAACCTTATACTCTAATGTGTCCTTGTTGACTTTAATTTCACATTTTTTTAGCATAAAACCAAATAAGGATTAAACATGATCATTTTTTATACTGCCCCCACAAGGACCCAGTAAAGCCCCAACCCCAAACCCCAAACCCTAAACCCTAAACCCTAAACCCTCAACCCTCAACCCTCAACCCTCAACCCTCAACCCTCAACCCTCAACCCTCAACCCTCAACCCTCAACCCTCAACCCTCAACCCTAAACCCAAACCCTAAACCCTAAATTCTAAAGCCATGCATGTTTATGGTGTGGCCATCTGCAGAGAGAGCCCTAAGCTTCCTGACACACCTTGGGATGCTGGTTCAGGGTTGAGGGTACCCCCAATAAGGGCTGTTAGAATAAGGGGGAACATCCCAAAGCATACCCTTAATGCTGCACGTCGGCCGCTATGGAGGCCTGAACCCGAAATTCCCGAAAATCCCTAGCCCTAAAATCCCTACAATTTGGGATGTGCCCCTTTAATGATTCAAGAGCCTCCGGCTCAAGCCGCCGACCCCGCTGGAGCATAGTTGAAAGGTTTAAACGCGTTCGTTAGGTCAAAGGGGTAGGGGGGCAGGGGCGGGGGGGGGGGGGGGGTGGGGGCAGGGAGGGGGGGGGTGGGGGGTTTTCCAAAGGGCCCCCTATGTCCTGTGCGAAACCGCCTATGGTCCGTGAGTTTATGCTGTGTGGGTGGCCTGGCCCTCCATGGAAAAGCTGCCGGGGACCCCCCCCTACCCCCCCCTACCCCCCCCCCGCCGTTTTGGGGGTAACTCCTTTTCCCATCCAACACGCCGCCAGGGTCGGCGGATACCAACAGTCCTCAACAAGGATTATGGTACCCCCCATTAACATCCCTATTAAGGTCTGTTGGTATAAGGGGGAACATCCCAACCTACAGTCCCTCAAGCCCCGAACCCGTACGGTTCTCCGGGATTGGAATTGGAATTGAGGGTTTTAGGGTGTATGCCTCGTCGGGAGTGAGCTATGCTCGTCTTGGGGTGCTCGACCAGCGGATGGAGGTGGTTGACTCTCGAGGATGTCGTTTCAGAAGAATGGCCGGAGCTGCCATTGACATATGCCACGGCGACCCTCGCCATGTTCCTGTCCCACAGCATGACAGTAGTGACAGTAGCCGATGCCAACGTTCTGGAATCGCAGCCGGGGGGGGGGGGGGGTATCGAGTACTTCGACACTGTTGTCCATTTTGGGACAGAATTCTGTGGAGGCAAGTCTATGCATGCAACTTTTTGGAAAGAAGAGGCGGTCGTGTTAAGCTTCGCATGAATGTTACATGCATTGCATGGCCCTACCTGGAAGCCTAAACCCAAAACCCTAAACCCCAAACCGCAGGAGACTAGCCTGGCCAGCTTGGCTCGGCAGAGGCGAGGAACATGGCCTTGCCAAAACCAACACTTGAGGGTTTAAGGTTGTTAGGGTTCAGGTTTAGGGCTTAGGGCTTAGGGCCTAGAGTTTAGGGTTTGGGTTTAGGGTTTAGGGTTTAGGGTTACTCTGCGGTTCCAGGGTTCTAGGTTGGGATGTTCCTCCTAATACTAGCAGTTCGTAAGAGGGATTAGAATAGGGGGTACTATATTCCCGATTAAGGACTTTTAGTATAAGGGAGAACATCCCAAGTCAGTTGTTAGGCAACCGCAATCAGGGACATAGACAAGGTGATGAGACTTGTCTAGCGCTGGCGATTGTAGGCATGAATGGGTGGCTAAGGACAACCCAGCACCCATAGCCCATAGCCTGTAACCCGAGCCATGAGCCTTGTGACCATGCAACCATCGAAAGGCACACCCTAGACCGAAATCTGGCGGTTCGCAGACCCTTGCAAGGATCCACAAAGTGGATCCCCTTAAAATGTTCCGAGCAATGACCCAATAAAGGCATACAGTACTATTCGGGGGTTCTACTTCTTGGATCCTGCAAGGGGTCTGGGTGCATCTGAAAGGATACTTTCTGGCTCGGAGTTTTGCTAGCACAGCTTCGGGCATAATGTAGCAACCCTGCAGGAAGCCCCGCGTCAAGGAGGTGAGGCCCACTCCCTAAACCCTCAACCCGAAAAGCTGAAAGTCCAAGCCGTCAGAAAGCCCAAAACACAGAATCACGAACCACCCCAAAACCCCAAACCCCCCCTCCCCCCCCGAAACAAAAAAGACGAAGTTACAACCACTTCCACCCGCACGGCATGAGGTATGAGCACGCGGAGGTGCCGGCTTGCGGAAGAGCTGGGTGAGGATTTGGTTTAGGGTTTAGGTTGGGGTGTTTTTAGAAAGATTTAGGGGCCAGAGGGGCCTAGGGGCATAGGGACCAGCTCATGGGCGTGTGGGTTTGGTATTCGAGGCTTACGGGTTTAGGGTTTAGGGTTTATAGGGTCCAGGGTCTAGGGTTTAGGGTTTAGGGTTTAGGGTTTAGGGTTTAGGGTTTAGGGTTTAGGGTTTAGGGTTTAGGGTTGCAATCGCAGCTGAGATCTCGCTTGTCACGAATCAATGTCGGGGCTCTGGGCGGTCAGTGGAATCGCCTTCTGAGACACACAGGCGTTGGTGTAGGGTGTACTCGTAGCAGAGTAGGTAACCTTTAACCTTTCTGGGGTAGTATAGTCCTCTTATAATCCTAAAGGTTAACCTTTAATTCCCCCAGGTTACTGGACAACTAGGGTGTACTTTGTCATAGCGGGGTAACATTTTACACTTTCAAGGGTACTTAAGACTCAATAAGGAGTAGAAACTTAAATGGTTAATACTCTCCCAACTATGAACTAGTGTAGGACCCTTTGGGTCCAATGAATCACACAGCGACACCAAACACGAAAAGGCCACCTCACCTGGCATGTCGGTGCATTTGCGGCTGGTGCTTCGCCCTAAGCCCATCTTCAACACGGGCCCTTAGTCTATGACATAAGAGGCCGTGCGCAGTCGGTAGGGTTTAGGGCTGCTGCTGCTGCTGGGACTGCGGACAAGTCAATGATGACGTCTGGTACTATGAACAACGAAGGCAATCGCGCTGTGCGACGGCCGTGAAAAGGGCAAAAACATGCAGCTAATTGTTTGTCGTTCTGCGAAAGCCCTGTGCTACGTCCCCGTCAGGTCGATGGCAGGCTCATTGGCCAGCAGAGCGACGCAGTCAGTGACCGCAGGGGAAAAGTAAAAGGCATCCAGGGCTTGCTTGAGATCCTCGTGAGACAGGCCAGGTTCCTCTGCAAGCAGTTGCACGGCCGCATCAACGGCATCTGCTGGCGACTGCGTGGTGAGGGGCAAAAGGAGCCCCGCGAGGCGTGTAGCAGGGTAGTGCGCGGTTTGGCCCGGCTCTCCATGCACCTGTGTCAGAGGGTTCACGAACATCCCGTGTGTCCATAGGGCCTCCAGACAAGCGGGGCGGTCGTGTTGGACATGCCTCAGAACTCTGTCCCTTGACCAGAATTCGGTCAAGCAGCAGGGACAGCAGCTGGTGCCGTCAACGACGGCTGCCGCGTCAGACCGCAGATGGTGCACAGCGAACCGGTGCGCCCTGAGGGCTTGGAAGGACGCAAAGGCATCGCCGCACAGGGGGCAGGTGTGGGGCACGGCGTCGGGGCCTGATGCCGATGCCTTCGTTGGCGGCTGTCGTAGTTCCGCACTGGCAGCTTTGCGCACCAGTCTGTGAAACCTGGTAGGGCATTCCAAAATGAAAGCCTGCAGGCCCTCTGGGAAGTTATGCGAGGCGGAGGCTGGGAGCACGGCTCCGGCAGAGAGCCACTGAAGGTCCTTGCTCAGCTGTTCGAGCCACGAGGTGCCTGCACTCACCTGTCTCTCGGCTTGCAGCATTGCAAGCAGGGTCTCCTGCTGATGCGTTAGGCAGCGGGCGAAGTGGTGCAGCCGTTCGCAACGGAGGAACGAGTCTGGAAGGGGCATGCCAGTGTAGCGGCATAGCTCCTGCGGGCCAGGCAGCCATGGGGCTCCCGTCCACCTATCATCGCTTGTCAGAAGTCGGACGAGCCGTGAGTAGCCCGCAGACCAGAGGGCACTCTCCTCTACCCCCTAGCCTAGGCCAGGTTGCAGCGGTGTGAGTTATTCGGGACAGGGAGAGTCCACTCAACAGCTGGCGCCGTTGCGCAATGGGCAGGTGCTTGTTCCGCAGCACGGTCCTGGCCAGGGGCTTGGCGGCTGCGAAGGCCGATGCAAGCTTTTGCCGCAGATCAGCAATGGCGTTGCCTTTGACCGTAACCCTCCCTCCGAGATGCGAGTAGCCGGGCACGCACCCGACAGCAAAGGTGCGTTGTCCCACCGTGAAGTGGAGTCTGCTTTGTTGTCGGACGAAAAGCTCCCTGGCGAGCTCCCTCTTGCCCTTGCCGCTGAGGTGAACAACCGCCTCCGTTTTGCCGGCCTTGTAGTTCGGGGCCATAGCGCGTCGCATCATTTCCCTGTGCGCGATTTGGAAAAGGCACCTGGCCCGTTGCAGGAGCCGTTCAGACGACCGATCAGCGAGAAGGATTGCCGAGTCGTCGGCCCAAGTGGGGCAGAGGAGGGATAATGGAAGCGAGGCGGCCTCTCGGACGGGGCACTCGAGCAGGCCTTCACGTGCAGCAGCTTGTTCAATTGCCTTGACCAGGTCGGCTTGGACAAAAGCAAAAAGGACGTCGGCGATTGTGTCGCCGGGCCTCACCCCCGCATGTGTGCCAACGTACACCCCATCTCCTCTCATCTTGAAGTGCGTGTTCGACATAAAGGTCTTGATGACACGCTGCCCGTGAGGGGACATGTGTTCAAGAAGAGCCGCACCCCGGGCCCAACACACGACTTCGTGAAGATATTCCGCCGGTACTTCAAGACGGCGGAGGACGGTGAGAAAAGCTTCGTCGCAGTCAGGGGCCTTGAAGAAGCACTCGCGTACGACGCGATAGTACGCGGAAGTAACATCAAAGAAGAGTGCGGCGTGCGCTGATCTTTGGGCTCTGGCTGTGGCGAAGAAGGTTCTCAAAAGGTGGTGTCCAGACGGCAGTAGCGACCCAGGCATTCCGCCTTGATGGAGCTCTTTGGCCTGCAGCGCGCCGAGAAGGGCCGCACGCGAGGCTTTCCTCAGGAGCTTGCCTGGCTCCTCCAGTAGGCAGATGGCGCGGTGGTTGCACCAGTCCCTGGCACTACCTTTGCCTTTGAAAAGGCTTATGAGGTCGGTCGCCTTGGACTGAATGGGTTCGGTCAAGCGAACATGCGCTTTGAGGAAGAGCGGCAGCAAGGCCCTGGCCGCTTTGGTTGTATTGGACTTCCACACCCACCCTGGCACCGTGCTTGGTCCGGGTGCTTTGCCGAGCTGGATGGAGCGGACGAGATGTTCAATTTGAGTGAGGGTCGGTAGCTCTCGCAGCTCAAAGGTGCCATCCAGCGTGGACTGCGCAGGTGCTTCGCTGAACAACTCGGCCAGAGTAGTTTCCTCCCCAGCCTCGAGGGCTGCAAAGTGCTCTCTTTTGTCCTTGACGAGGGCAATCGGGTCAGGCATTTGGTTGCCTTCTCCCCGAGTGATAACAAGCGGCGCAAAGGGCTTGAGGATCTTCTTGCCGGGTGGGCGGAGCGGTGCAAGGGCCTTATAGAACGCCTTAGCATTGCCGGCTTGCCCAGCCTCTTGAAGAGAGCGTAGCCTTGAGGCGGCAAAGGCAGCCTTGTCAGCCTGGATGGTGGTTCTGACGGCCGTTCTGTCAGCGTGCAGCCAGCGCACAAAGACGCCTTTGATAGCTTGCAAGTCGCGCAAGGTCCAACCCTCCCTGGATACAGGGGGTCTCGCTCGACCTCTTGACCAGGCATGGAGGATGGTGCGTAAGCGCAGCTGACGCTCAAGTCTATCGAACCCACGTAGGGAACGCCGCAGCCGCTTGCAATCATGGAGGAGCGCCGCTGCCTCCTCTGAAACGAAGGGCCGTTTCTTGCACATTGGTGGGGGGGGAGTGGACTGTGCAGCTTGCGCAATCGTGTTTTGGAGCAGGTCCATGTGCTCATGAACATTGGCTTCCCAGGGGACCAGAGGAGCGGTATCCCACGCGGCAAGGACGGCCTGCCTGCATTGTTCGGTCGCTCTGCTAGGGTCTCTTGGGAGGACTCCGGGCCCCTTTTTTGTTGCGGTGCAGTGGGTCACAAACTGTGCACTGACGCAAGCCGCCCAATGGTCCTCATGCTGCCTGGCAGGGAGAAGGTCTCTATGGACCCACGGGGTGACATTGCCGGTGTTCCAGGCCTGTGGAACGCCGATGTAGTCAATACGGTGCAGGGTGCCGTGTGGAGATACCCAGGTGGGTTCAGACGCGCTCGGGTCTCGGCGCCCCTTGCGGTCGAAGCAGGTCGCTGGAATCCAAAGTTGGAACACGTCAGCAAGCTCCCTCAAACACTCCCCCGCTACGCATTCTTCCTCGCCGGCATGGGCATCAATCCCGGCCGAAGTGACTGATCCCAGCCTGGCGTTGGCGTCAACAAGCAAAAGGAGTCGGCCTTTAGCATCTATGGGGATGACCCCTTGCAGTTTCCGCCACCAGGCTTGGATGCCTGAGGGTGAATTGCCAGAGTGGGGTGCATGTGCCGAGACGCAGCAGAGGTGCAGGCCTGGTGCATGCACGGCACAGACGAGAATGCTAGGCTCAGCATGCAGGCAGGAGACGTGTTCTGGCAAGATGTGGAGGGGTCTGTCCCCTTGCCATCCATAATAAGGGACGTCTTTCGCGAAAAGCAGGGATGTGCCATGGTTGCCATTCTTCCCTGCGGCGTGCACTTCGAAGAAGGCCCGGCCTTTGCATTGATAGTCGTGCTGTATTCTGGTTTCTTGCAATCCCACAATGCCGAAACGCTCCTTGCCGAGCAGGTGCCAAAGTGCGTCTTTCTGGTCAAGGAGGCTTTGGACATTGAGCGTGCATGCTTGCAGTGCAATGGTCGTGACCTTCGGGGCCTCCGGACCTTGGCCTTCGGAAAGCAGGGCAGGGGGGACCTGGTCAGGCGCCTCATACCGTCCTCTTTCAAGGGAAGCAAGGGGTGGGCAGTCGGTCTTGGCAGTGGATGCCCGCCATAGCCATCCGAAAAGAGGGTGCGTGACAGCCTGCCAGAGGGCGTGTGGCAGCGGGGTGTCTGGCCAGACCCCTAGGGCAGCCGCCTTGGATAGGGAGTCCGATATTTCATTCCCTGCTATCCCTTTATGCCCTGGTACCCAATGCCAGTGCATGTTTCTCTCCTTGGCCTCGAGAATTTGCACGGCCTGCCTGGCCAGGCACGCAGCAGTGTTGCTCGAGTCAGGGTTGGCTGCCTGGTTTGCGGCGCCCAGCACAGATTGTGAGTCAACGTGAAAGTGCACCTGTCGGTCGCCTGGCAGGGAGAGGGCCCACACGGCAGCCACAAGGATTGAAACAGCTTCTGCATCATAGGAGCTGTAGTCAATTGCCAGTGTGGAGGAAACCCAGGGGCGCATAGAGCCACATGCGTAGCCCAGAAAGGCGAGGGGCTGTCTTGGGTCATCCTGCTGCACAAAGACGTTGAAGGCCCAACCGCCCCTGTGTAGCTTGGGACCGGGGTCAAAGGGCCCGTCGGTGAAGATATGGAAAGCTCTGCAGAGGCCAGGGTGGCCGGGGGCGAGGGCTCCGAGTGTCCTGAGGCCGCGAGGCATGCCAGGGACTTTGGCAATGTCATTGCGCAGGGAAATGGCCCCAGGGCTGGTGAGGAGCTCATAGTCGTCCAGCAGGGTTTGCAGGGACCCAACTTCGGCCTGTTTTGCAGGCGGGCGCTCACCTGCCGCAGCAGGTGCCTGCGGTGCAGCATTATGTGGTTCAGGCTGCTTGCCGTTGCGGAGTAATCTCCGGCCCAGCGGCGTCGGAACACAAAGGGTTGCCTTGCTTGCAGGTGGGTTGCCGCTAGGGGCGGCGCTCGCATCGCTACCCGGTGGGGGTACGGGCGCCTGTAAAGGGGCCTCTGGTGCATGGGTGGAGCCAGTGCTATCGCCCATTTCCATAGGCCGCGACTCTCCCGCGTCCGTATCCGCAAGCAGTGAGTCATCATCCGGGATGGGGGGGGTTGGCGGCCGCCAAACTGCAAAAACAAACTGCAGGGAGGGCAGGGGGTCCGAGATCGGATCCATCAAGTCCCCCCTAGCACTGCGCAGTGTGAGCCGTTGCGTGCGGAGGGCATTGTGGAAAGCAGCTCCGGTTCCGCGGCAGCCAGGGTGCGCATTGTCAACTTCAGCCAGGGCATCGCCTAAGCCAAACCAGCTCACCCTTGGGGTGGCATAAGCCGTGCACACCCGACAGCAAGTGCTTCCGCGGGGGAATCCGCGAAAGTAAGCACAAGTTGCGGTTCCGGGAACCCGTAGACTGTGTCCGCCAAAAGTTGTATGCTGCGTATCTGCTCTGGTGTGGAGCGCAGAATGTCCGCCACCAGCCATTCAAGGCGCATGTCGGCTCTGTGGAGGCGTATGCGGATCTGGTGTATTGGATCAAAGATGGTGTACCGGGCGGTGTCTTCCGCCATCTCCGGTGCAGCCATCGTCCGCGCGACAGCAGTGTAAGTGCTGTCAATGATGAGCGCAAAGTCAGGGGGTAACAGCCGTGGCATGCGCATGGCCGGCTGGTTTGTGACAGCGCTGGGGGCACGACAGCCTGCAAAGGGGCCGACCGCAAGCGCATCATGCCGTCGGTCGTCCGTGTCGTGTTGCCCAATCCCCATTTGCGCGAACTCCCTGTGACATAGTGCGACCCTTGCCGGTGGTGCATTGTGGCTCAAAGCTTCACAAGGCGTCTGAGTCAGGGCGGCGGACTTGCGCTTCCATGACAGCTGCGCCATGCTAGTGCCGGCGCTCGCGCTCGCGCTTGCACCGCTGCTGGATCTTCGCCGGAAGAGTAGGGCCCGGCCATGTGTAGGGGCGGAGTCAGCTTGTACGAGCAGGTGCGGTG